ATCTGACTTCAGCTCAGGTCATGATCTCAGAGTTTGTGGGTTCGAGCCCTGTGTCAGGCTCTGTGCTGACAGCTCAGAGCCTGGAGCCCACTTGGGATTCTGTGTCTCCCTCTCTCTCTGCCCCTCCCCTATCCATGCTCTGTTTCTCTCTGTCTCAATAATAAATATTTTTAAAAATTAAAAATAAAAGAAAATCTCAATGTTTGACTCAAACTCTTAAAACATTAAATATTGAAGAAACAATTATTTATCTCATTGGGACTTAAAGTCTATTTATTTTTATTAGACTCTTAAACTCTATAAATATCCATGATTGTGAATGAAGAAAAAATCTACATCCAAATAATATTCAATATTATTATAATGTAATGTATTTTCCAGAGATAACGCACTCAAAAAAAGCCCTATTTCAACATTTTGTTGTTAAGCACCCAAAAAGCTATGTAGTCAATTTTTTAATACATTCAAATATGCATGTAGCCAAGGTAAATGCATGTAGTAAAACACTATCAAAGATGGACCAAATGTTGTGGAAAATGTAAAATTAATAATTTCCTCTTATTCACAAACTTGTGCTGCACCTGGATTTGGATCAATATTCTGCTGCCATTCAGAGTTTAAATACAAAGGATTTGTGGATGATGTGAGTGTCACAGTTTGCTACCAAGGATTTTCAGGTGAGAGATGAATAAACACTGTTAAGTTACAGAATATGAATTCTAGGGCAATAGTTACCTCACAGGAGTAAGGCTTATGAGACTCATTCAGAGAAAATCCCCAGCAAAATCTGCAAATATTATATTTTTAGCTTTATAGTTCTTTTTTCCAATTTGAGGATACAATTGTATAAAAACTGCATGAGCACTTTTATGATACTCATGCAGTCATATTTTGGTTTCATCTTTCATTTTATATTGTGGTGGAGAGTTTCAGTTCAAAAGTAAGATGTAGTCCCACATGAATTGTGAGGATTCTGGGCAAAACAACTCCTAAGTACACAGACTCTTTTCAGAATCTTCTGGATTTATTCCTTATCTACCTTTAAAACGTGACTTGAAGCAATTTATAATATTAATCCCCCCAGTCTCTCTGTTTCTCTCTCTCTCTCTCTCTCTCTCTCACACACACACACACACACCACCTTAAAAGAACAGCAAGAAAAGACAGACAAAAATAAAGCCAATTAGAAGCAAAAAGAAAGTAGCTACGTCAGTGATGAGTCAGGTGAGAAAATACCAATGGGATGTTCAGTTTAGCAATGAGCTTCCTAGAAACTAGAGAAAACAAGAAGAGGAAAATAGAAGTTACACATTTCTTACTGCTTTTTTTTAAAAAAAGGAAAAAGTCAAGTTTATCTTCAAAGACAAAATGTTCTTAGTATTTATTTTAGAAGAAGTGTATGTCGTGGGCCCTCTCATAAGCAACATAATGAACATGATGTAAATATCCTCAATTTATATTTTGCAAAAGTTAACAAAGGAGTCCGTAAATAATCATTTCTCTGCCTACTCTAAAGGCTTCTGTATCATTATACGCTAACCTCAGAAAGGACTGGGGTAGGCTTGATTGAGACCAGATTGTAGTAAAGAAAAATAATAATCATCATCAGAGCCCTCGAAAGCCCTAGAAAAATCTGCGCAAGCAAGTTGGCGACTGCACTCAGAGCCCCGGATGAAACACCGGTGTGGCCTGGACCTCAGTCCATACTTCGGAAGCTTCAGTGTTAAGACTGAGGTTCTGACTTAGTGGGTCTGGGGTCTGGGGCCTGACCACTCTGTTTCTAACAAGCTTCCAGGCGGTGCTGATGCAACTGGCCCGCCGACCACATGTGGAGCACCAAGACTTTAGGGAGCACCCAGGGTGACCTGAAAGAGCTGCACTAATAGTACTTGGGATACGCGTCCCTGTGAAACAGTCCACAACAAGACAGACTCCCAACAGTCACGCCACCCTCTTCTCACACATGACGTCACTCGTTCGGCACAGCTGGTTCCTGGTTCTGCTACGGGCAGTGACGCTAGTAGACCCCTTGTGGCACAGGAGCTCCGCCCGAGAAGATGGGGCCTCCCACAGAGCAGAGGGGGCGGCAGACAGAGGAAGGGACGCAAGCAGCGGGTGCCAAGTGGGGCCACGAAAGAACACAGGAATTAATTCCAAATCACCGTAAGAAATATCAGGGGAGGAAAATGACCACAAATCCCAAAAACTGCTAGTCAAGCAGATGGGGCTTCATACCATTATAATTTGGGGATAGTAAGACAAAGAGGTTGGTAAATACCAGACATAATACTGTCATGCCAACCTACACCAAAAGAGCTCACTAAACCTGTGAGGCAGAGCGCTCCTGAAGTTCCTAGGAAACACAGAATGATAATTAGAAACTAATTGCCTTAATATGAAAATCTCATGGATCTTTCTCTTTATGTAGTAACTACCATTGCTGTTTTGTGTTACTGACTATCCTGCATCTATATATCCAGCCTTACCTTTAATTTTTTTTTTCTTTTAGAGAGAGAGAGCTCTAGGGGCGCCTGGGTGGCTTAGTCGGTTAAGCGTCTGACTTTCGCTTAGGTCATGATCTCGCGGTTCGTGGGTTCGAGCCCCGCGTCGGGCTCTGTGCTGACTGCTCAGAGCCTGGAGCCTGTTTCAGAGTCTGTCACTCCCTCTCTCTCTGACCCTCCCCTGCTCACGCTGTCTCTCTCTCTCTCTCTCCTAGAAATAAATAAAACATTAAAAAGAGAGAGAGAGAGAGAGAGCACAAGCAGGGGAGGGACAGAGGGAGAGAGAAGAATCCCAAGCAGGCTCCATGCCCAGACAGAGCCTGATGCAGGACTTGATCCCATGACTGTGAGATCACAACCTGAGTTAAAATCAAGAGTCAGACACTTTACCAACTGAGCCACCCAGGCACCCCTCCAATCTTACTTTTTAATTAAGATCTTAATATCATCAAGCATATCTTCCAAGACGATGTGACACTGGAATAGTATGAAATTTTGTGGGACTGTATTGGGATTGTATAAGGTACTGCTACTTGAAGAACTCAACTGAATATTTTAGATTTACTATTAGAGCAGGTAACTCAAACTTACAGCCCAACTTAACCTGATGAGCTAAACTTTTCTTGTTCAGCTGTTTTCGTTTATGGATATTGTCATTAAAAACTCCTCAGGCCATGTACCGTTGACTTGACCACAGTTCCCAGGGAAGACAGGTACGTAACTCAAGAGAATTTATCTGCCTGGAATCTGACTGCATTTTGGGCTGCAACCTTTGCTTTAGAGTATTTATGGAGGTAAATTCTCTCATAGGTCATCAAAGTATGAGTCATTTTCGTATTGTGTTTAGATGTAAAGTTAACTTTAAGTCGCTGACTGCAAGAAGCTTAATATTTCCTAGGGGATACAGGAAATGTCCTATATTTGTCTTATAAGACAAAGTAGAGCATAATAACTGCTATTAGAGAAGCAAAAAACAAGGTTTTTTTCAGAGCACAGATAACGAAAGCTCAGGACAGTTTTCTCCAAAGAGCTCTCTGAACTGGCAGTTGAAGAAGGGGTAAAAGTCTGCAGGCAGAATGACCCAGAAGTCGGGAGGTGAGGTGGTGAGAAGGGAAGAGACGGAGTCCAGCGCCAGATGTGAGAAAATACAGGCTATTGTCAAAGGAGAGCAAGGGACTGGAATAAAGTGGGCATGAAAGAAGTAACGGGAAAAAGGGGGCATGTTTTGTGAGAGCAAATGTTCTATTGCAGCTTTTGCCTGGTCCCTGTTCTGCCTCCTGTCGTCAGAGAAAAGGAAGCCCCTAAACACCAACATGTTGGCCTGCCTAGCTGTGTTCTGGTGGCTGTTACCCTCTCACCAAGGCGGAAGGCCTGCCGGCCACTGCTCTTCTCTCGACTCTTGTACACAACGAAGAACTCTCATCCAGGAGCCCCCCAGGCACCCTTCCCCGACAGGCTGCACACCGGCCTCCTGCTGACTCATCGTGAAGGCCCCGGCCTGTCTGATCCTGCCTCCTCTCCACACCGTGCCAGCCTGGGCCCAGCACGCCTACGCCCCACAGCTCGGCCATCCCGTCTCATGGAGCCAGAGAACACACTTCTAACTTACTCCTACCCATTTCTCTAGGGTTTTTCTAGTTACTTCTAATCAGACCTGTGGGGTTTCCCTATTTCCGCTAACGACTCCTTTGTCTCACAGCCACCCAAGTGAAAATCAAAACCTACACCACTGGGTCATATCGCCTAAAGCCTATATGCCCAGTTATTCAACAGATCCTCATGTTTTCCCCTGTGTCCTTCACTCCCCGGATGTCGGAATGCTGGCGCCCAGACTATTCCTACACAGGCCTTAGACCCACCACGGCGACGGCAGCCCCCACTGAACGCCAATCCACCCTGAGCGCCTCCATCCCAATGTGCTCTGCGAGAGTGCCAAGCATAGTTACGTCATAGTTACACTCTTTGGATTGGCTTTCAGAGACCCTCATCATCTGACCCAAGTCTGTCTGCTCCATCTCGACAGCCTCTTACACATCCTCACCCTTGTCCCCCCCCCCCCCCAGTTCTGCACACACAGCTGGGGACCTCAACGCAGATGGGACTCCTCACTCTTCAAACTCTGCTCACCACTGCTGTCCAGGAGCCCCTCCCAGACTCCTCATTGATTTCTTCATCCTCCCAATCTCTCTCTATAATCTATGCCACACTGTTTCACGTATCTTTAAGATCATCTTCTATTCTTTCACATCTGTTCATTACGTTTTTGCAACTGACCCAGAGTAAAATAAGGTCATGATTTTTACTTGCTTTTTTTTCTTTTGATTTTGTTTTGCTGCCATTCCCAGGGTCCAGCATGATGTGGAACCTGGTGAGGGTATTTCATAAGGAGTTAGTGACTACATGAGTTAGAAAGTTTCAATACTAAGTGACGAGAATCGATTTTAAATAGTCATGTCCATGGTGCTGGAGGAAACAGTGCCGTGCTGAATGCACACTTACCCGAGAAGACACTAGGTATCTTGGAAAGAAAGCTTTTGACGGTACGAATAGGAATTCCATTTTTTTCATCTTGCATGCGTGCTATGACGTCTTCCATCTACAAATAAAATAATTAAAACTTTTTAAAAGTCACACTTTTAAGAAAAATCAGTTCTTATAACAATTACACCAGTTTTCCCAAACCGAGTATAATAATACCACATTCTTGCCTTTCTACACTTCGTCGTGTTAATATTTTTAGTTTGGTTAAAGGATGATGGAGAAAAATGTAAGAAAAGTGGCCATTTTAAGCTCTATTAAGCTACTAAAAGGAATTCTTGCTATCAATATTACCTCTCTCTCCTGGTTTCACATTCTTTGCTTATAAAGGTTGACCTAAAAGAGTGTTTATTTTTGAAGCTGTTGGAAACCACTGTCGTAGCAAAATTCTCACTTCATTAATGTTATGAAACTCCATGCAAAAGAAAAGAGAAGCCTTGAAAGTGTCTGTGTGGATTTCCTCTTCAAGCAAGTGAGTTACTATGATTTGGTTTCATGTAAACTTTAACTGCCTGGAAATGAAGGACCAATTGCCAGCAACTGCGGCTTCTCTTACCCGGGCAAGTTCTCAAGGGTGATTCGTACACGCCTGATCAGACGAAAGCAGAACTGTAGCTTTCCGCCCATGTAGTGAATTCCGCTGTGTCTGTGTTTCAATCTGATTGGTACACTCTCTTTTGCTTTTGAAAAGTTTTCACAGTTTTAAAGAACTCTGCTTTACAAAGGCCAATGTGGAATTTAGTTCTGAATAACATTCATGCAAATCATAACCCCCATGTGTTTCTAAACGTGTGGCAACGCACACAGACACCCAGAAGTTGTATGATGGAGCCCAACATCCATTCATTCATGGACTCGCTCCACAATCAGATACTGATCAGACTCTAGACCAGACTTACTGATGAGCACTGTGGAAACGAAAATGAGTATAATACAGTTGCTAGCCTCAAAAAAGGTCAGTCTATATTGAAAATGATGGTAAAATGTGTTTAAGGTTTGTGGTTTGGTTAATAGTGTGGTACCAATATCAATCTCCTGTTTTTGGTAATTTTGCTAGAATTCTATGAGATGCTAATATTCACGGAAGCTGAGTAAAGGGCATCTGGGAATTCTCTGAACTATTTTTGCATCTTTTCTGTTTAAAATTATTTAGGGTAGCCTAGGCGGCTCAGTCGGTTGAATGTCCGTCCAACTTTAGCTCAGGTCATGATTTCACGGTTGGTGGTTTCAAGCCCCATGTCACTCTCCATGCTCAAAGCTCAGAGCCTGGAGCCTGCTTCCAATTCTGTGTCTCCTTCTCTCTCTGCCCCTCCCCCTCTCATTCTCTCTCTCTTTCTCTCTCTCAAAAGTAAATAAACATTAAAAAGTTTCTTTTAACTATTTAAGCAGAAATTTTTTAAAGTTTTAATTTTAAAAGCTTCAAATTATTCCAAAATAAAAAGTTAACAAAAATCACAGTCTGAACACTATACCAGTGAATTACCAAATTCCCGCCAATACAGCTTCAGAATGGTTTTCAAATCAGAAATCTAATTTGCCTGGATGAATATTTTCAGACTTATTAACATGAGAAACTGCTCACCAGAAACTGGAGGAGTGGGAAAAATGGGTTTCTGACGCAGCTATTTTTATCATCGTCCATGCTGCTTTGAGTGAGGTGAGCAACCTGTCTGAGGCTGCTGCCTCACCTCTAAGTGGTGATAATAATATTTATACTAACTCCTTTATAATGTTTGTAGTGTGGGGATGGGGGTGGGCTAGGGGTAAATTATTTTAAGGTTAAATGATACAACATGTATAAAGCACCATACATAGACAATAAACCTTGGACTTCAAATATCCACACATACCCCCAGTGCTTAGGGATGTTTATTCCCCACTCATGTTTTGGTTTGTTTTTTTGTTTGTTTTTCTGCAGAGGGCACACCACTGCTTCAGCCCCTGCCCCTTCCTGCCCCTCACACCTGTCACTGCAGCCCTGGGCTGACTGATCAGGCGGAAAAACTGAGGATGGGCTTGTCCTCCTTCCGTGGGGAAGCCCGCACCGAACTCTGCTGTGTGAGAGACCTGCCTTAGTGAGTGAGTACGACTGATCAGCACTGGGTTTCAGGATCCAAATTTCTGTGTGCGCACACATTCGTCAGTAATAGCTTTCTCTGTAATGCAGGTGATGCTGTGACTCCTTTCTGCCTTACGCTTTAGCTGTGATTCTCCACTCGTTCGGAATTCGGAAAATGAAGGTGTTATAATTGACCCTCTGAAGACCCTAACAAGAGCTAAAACACTGCACGTAATGAACACATCTAAGTATAGAAACCTGGAAATGGTTATACTTTTATGAGTTTTTGCTTTGTTACTGCTTGCCCTTCATTCACCTGACCGTGAAGAATAAGCTGCTTTGTCTAGTGGCAGCCTGTAAACCCTTGGACTATGAGTTTAATGGTTTAAATCAGGTCAGATTAGACAGACGTGGAAATCTCTGACACTGGTTACTACCTCCACAGCCCAGGACGTGGCAACAATCACCTCGGGTGGGGGCTGAAATAAGGCTCATTGCTAGGAGTAGAGGTGTTTTCTCTGCAAAGTCATACCACCTCTCAGTTCACTGGATCCCAAAGGCAATAGATTAGCAATCTGGGAATTGAAAGTGAGCTCTTTCGTTGTATTTTAAAAGATTCAATTTTTCCGAGCCACAATTTCCACAAGTGAAAAAAAAAAACCAAAAACATTTAAACCCTATGTAAAAAGAGGATGCATGTTCTAGACTGAAAATGTGATCATCAAAATATATTCAGCTGTTCTCTTCTTAATTCAGATATGATTTAGCCATGAAGCTTACCATGGCCTATAATGAACAGAAAACAAACCAAATAACAAAACCAAAACGATGGCCAAGACAAAGACAAAAACGATCTGGTTTCTAAAAGCTAAAATCAGTCCCAAAGGCCACATATAAAAACATATCCATCTTATCTAATGAAGTTTCCTTAAGCAATCACTTGCAGTCTATTTATTTTTATATTAAGTATGATTTTAAGACACTTGATTATCTCCTTTCCTACTATTTGCAGTAGCAACTTGGGTGAGAAACAGAATGTTAAAAGTAGACAAACTAATAGAGAAAGCCAGGCAGCAATAAGGGTGAGAGACTATATAAAGTAACTCCAATAAATACTAAACCTCTGTGGGACAATTTAAATGTAAGGTCAAAAGACACAGCACCAACATTCCACAAAGAAGATATATATACACATACAAGCATCTATTGATGGACCAGTCTATCATCTGTCATCTTCATCACAGTGCCATTGGGCTGTGAAGGGTTAGGCTGTTTTTGCTCTCAAGCCCTAGGGTGAGGAAACTTTCAGCATGGGATGACAGAACACTGAGCATGCCTGGGGCACTGGGCATGCCTGGTCACTGAGGCTCTCTCTGAGTCTTATTTTCTTCACCCTTCAAATAAGAAGTTAGAGGCAGGTGATCTGTAAGATTTCTTCCATCCAAAAAATTACTGAAGTCTAGAAATAATCATCACTGTTTAGAACTGGGTACATTTCTTTGAGTTAAAGAGTCAGTTTCTGGGGTGCCTGGGTGGCTCAGTCAGTTAAGCACTGACTCTTGGTTTCGTCTCAGGTCGAGATCTCAATGGTTCATGAGTTTGAGCCCCACCATGAGTGCAGAAGCTGCTTGGGATATTCTCTTTCCCCCTCTCTCTGCCCCTCCCCTGCTCACTCTCTCGCACCCTCTCTCAAAATAAACTTTAAAAAAAAAGAGCCAGTTCCCTATCAGAGACAAATAGATGAACCCATTAAATTGATCAGGACCATTTGCAAATTGCTTCCAACTGTCAGCACATTTTAATTTCAATGCAAATAGCAAAGTGATTAAGAGCATGAACTGAGGCCAGTCAAATCTGTTCGAACCCTGGCTGTGCTACCTTCAAATTGTATGAACACGTTAAGTTACTTTATAACTCATCTATAAAATGGAACTAATACTAATAATATACATCGTATCAGGGGTGAGGATTGGTTGATGAAGCAATGCTAATTAAATGTGTACCCATATTGCTGCCATCATCAGCATCAGCATCAACATAAGTTTCTTCCCTCATTACTATACTCAGAAGCCACAAGTCCTTTCTCTTTAACAATCCATCTGACAAAGACATCTATGGTCAAATGCCAAATATTTATTAGAGGCAAGCAGCTACCAATCACGAAGTAGAGAGAGGTACCTATGGATAAGTTCTCTCTTGGATTTCTTATAGAAGACTGGGTTCATGTTGTCCCTCAAAAGACAGAGGATTTGATCAGAAGAAATGTCTTGAAGAATATTCTTGCATAAAAGCAAGGACTATGTAAACTATGGGAAATAATATTTAGAAGAAAGGGGGAAATGAACTGGATTCATTTTTGACAAAGTGAAAATGTCTCTGCTCTCATATTCTCGATGAATTTGCGTCTTGAAGTTTAGAGGGTCAAAAGACTGAATTACAGGGTGCCTAAGTGGCTCAGTTGATTGAGCATCTGACTCTTGATTTTGGCCCAGGTCATCATGGGATTGAGCCTCACATCAGGCTCAGTACTGAGCATGGATCTTTCTTGGGATTCTCTCTCTCCCTCTGCCCGTCCCCCTTGATTGTGCTCTCTCTTTCTCTAAGATAAAAAATAGAAAAAAAATAGAATTGAGATTGAGTGCACTTTGCAAAAGTAGTCTTTCTTCTACACAAACTAATTCTCTGTTTGGTAAAGAGTAAAAATTGTCTCTTGCAAAGTAGTTTTGAGAATATCCATGGTTCGACTTGTTCAAAACATTTTTAGACCTCTATTACAGAACGCTTCACATTTTAGTTACTATCTTACAACTGTCTGTTCTCCCTTACATGTGAACTTCTAGAAACAGAAATCTCACGGGGCGCCTGGGTGGTTTAGTCGGTTAAGCGTCCGACTTTCGCTTAGGTCATGATCTCGCGGTTCGTGGGTTCGGGCCCCGCGTCGGGCTCTGTGCTGACTGCCAGCTCAGAGCCTGGAACCTGTTTCAGTCTGTGACTCCCTC